TAATTGCACATACCTAATACAAGCATGCAAATCTCTTTGCTTGTGCGCCGATTTCCTCTGCTCGTGCACAAAACCTCTTGCATGCCCTCAAATATACACTGCTCAAACGCAGATCTTCTTGTGAGCTCTCAAATAAACACTGCTGTAGTGCGATTTAGTGCATTTTTGTAACAAGTTTGTCTCCAACATTTATAAGATTTGCTAGGAATATTTATGAATGTCTCCAATAGACCTACTGAGCGACATTAATGCGTCCTGAAGTAAAGTGAAAAGGCAATAAACTCCAGCAAGATAAAGTCGTTGTATGCAGTGCCATAGACCTTTAAATAAAGTATAATTATGGAAACTGTATACATCTTAACTGAAAGCTATGTCATGTTTGTTGGCCTCACACATCACGCACCTGTTAGTCAGTCTATCAGCATGTTACCTTAAAGGGGTTAAGCAAATAACGCACAGTACTACTACAGTGACAGAAAAGTTTTCGCTGTTATAATTCCTTTGCTTTTTAATGCATATTGGTGCGATTATAACCTGCTATTAAAAAAACAACAGCAATGACAATGTTTTGAATGAGAAGTTGTAATGTAGCCGTGTGGGATGAATTTTGGTGTGGCACCCCCCCGCCATGGCAGAATGAAGGTAGCGGAAACCATGCTGTACCTTCAGTTTCAGTGAAAGACTGTCCCAGCAAACTCACAAGCAGAGAATTTAGCAGTTTTTTTGCCTGCGTTTTAAGTAGTTGAAGCATAAATACTCACACTCGTCTTACTCAACATAGTAAGCTACTTCAACATAGTTTGTTTGAGGTCAGTATGTAATAACTGGTTATGACATATTACAGAACCAATACCGAATCATCTTAATCGCAGTGCATCAAAAAGACAATTCATTTTGACTCTATTCAGAGGATGTGTAGTTGCTGCAGCCAAGTGCTTTCAAAAATGGTTTTATTTGCTCATGATTTGTGCTTTTTTAAAATTTTAATTAGAAAACTAAATGGACAAAATAAAAAGGTCGCACAGCTGAATCGACACACGTGTCTGCTCTGTTTTGCTAAGTAACATGACAATATTATAACCAGGATGTCTTGGATTTGGATCAGCTCTCACATGAGTTTTCTCATTAAGAAAAAATATGTTTCTGGTTATTCTGAAAGCTCATGAATGCAATAACTCTTGTTCATGCTTTTTAAGGCATTTTAGTGGCACAGAAAGTCATGTTCTGATACGCCTGGTACACACTAGTTACATGGTAACCAGTAGTACTGGGTTACAGTACCCAACCCTGGTCACTTCATGTGTCTTTCTTGTATTGGATAGCCATCTAATTTGTGAAAGCGATTCCATTCACATTTGGCAACGTGTCTTCGTAAATATGCTAAAAATATGATCTTCAAATCTCACGCTATATGCAAAGTTATCTAGGTCACATTGACTAAAGCATCAAGGTCACCATATTGTATGGACTTACTATTTTTTACAGAAATAAAAGCTGCATATCTTTTTCGACATACAAATGATTTTATGTAGGCTTTGTTAGGGTTGTGCCGATCGACGATAGTATAGTGTATTGACGATAGGCAAAGATATCGCCAACAGCTTAAATTTTCGGACAACAATTAATATTTTCGATTGCTCCCTTGCGCTCTCTCTCTGTCTCCGCAGCAGCAGTTGAGGCTTGAGCTGCACATGAGGGCACAGCTACATCTCATAGCAAATTAGTTTGCAACTTTGTTGCCTAAAAATATTGGATTTAAATAACAAACAAGTTAAATAAAACGATTTGTAAAAAAATAAAACAACTGAAGAAGAAAATGAAAGAATTCTAAAACCAGCTAAAAAAAATTCAGAATAAAACTTGTTACGGTCGTTGGTCATTTGAGACTCCTTTATAACAGTACTCCCGCAAGAATTTCTTTTGCTTTCACAAAAAAGCTGTTTATCTTTCATATCCATGATTAATAACCTATTTAAGTTTTAAGGGGGGCTGTAGACTATTTTTTCAGTGCATGCATTGATTGCTCCTTCAAATACATGGAATATACATACTTGTCCTATTTGTGTTTAATTCGATAGAATGATAAACATGGACATGCATGTTTTTTCAGAAAATAACCTATAATAAAGAGAATCTGCGATCTCACAGGGGGACGATATGGCGATCAGAAAATTTTGTATATCGCCCAACACTAGGCTTTGTACTACAGTCGTGATACAGTTAAACATTACATAAGATGGGCTGCTTGATTATTCAATATACAATTATTTTTGTGCAAATCTGTAAAGGGTATACCAGGCCTCTCACTATAAGAATTTTTTTGTCGTGCAATATATTGTCACTAAAATTGTTGGGATAAGCAATATTATTGTCATTTTGTGATCATTTTATTCCACTGATTATATAATGATTTATTGAACTATTTCATAGGTCACCACAGCGGGATGAACCAGGGCTCGAAATTGCGCGGCCGAAATTTTATCTATGCGACCTCAAAATGTATTTGGGAGCATTTTTGCGAGTGTATAAAATTGTTGTGTGACCAGTTTTTACTGCAAAATGTTCACTACATGCGCGGATTTAGGAGACATTCTAGCAGAATGCATCTCTGCACTTGAAACGTGAAACGCAGTGCTCAGGAATGGTTTAAAACAGTTGTCATGTCAACTTGCTGCAGTAAACAAAGCCAAGTCCGTAATGCTTGCCCTGCCTTCGCGCTCTTCTTATTGGCCCACTGCTCTAGCACTAAAATATCAGCTGTCAATCACTCAGTCAATGCCTTCTGACTTGGGATAACAGAGAGAGCTACTACCGCGAAAAATTGTAAAGCGCTGATGATGAGAATGAAGATAACACTGACAGATTTTGTTTTAGAAACCATCTAGTTACAATCAATGACACATCTTACTTGTGATCATGTGGTGAATGTTTATCCACCACCGTCTACTCTTTTTGAAGAGTCGATAAAAGACTTCCGTTGGCTTCAGGTCCGCTATGAAAAGTCTGGGATGGAATTTTCAGGTAACTGTTTGCTACATCTAGCACGAGAGCTTCTGTTTAATCCTTCATGTAATCGCCAGATGCTGTCCGCCGTGCTAGTGGCAGCTTTATGTCAAATTGAACACCACGTACACCATCACAAACGGGCTTGCACTGAGTAAACTAATATCGCTACTCATAAAAAGGCCGGTATTGCTATTAACACGACGTATGCAAATAATAAGATACAGTATATGTCAAGAGCATCAGTGCAATATCAGACAGCACCCATAAGAACAGCACAGTTATACCGTTAACAGATTCATCCATGTCAAGCAGTGCGTGCAGGGCCGGTGAGCGGTCCGTGTATCTTTTGGTCACTTTTAACAGTTTTGTTAAAAAAATCTATTTTCTTGTGATAGCAGGATTTTGTTGAGAAATATTTTTCTCACGCTTGCATGTATATTTTTTTGCTTGTTAGTTTGATTACTGTTGATTTCAAATGCAATTAATATGTTTGTATAAAACTTGTAGTAACAATTACAATTGGTGGGTGCTACTAAATTTTTGCTGAGCAAAAGGTTAATTTCGAAGCCTGTGAACCACCAAATTAATCGTTACATAATTGACTAAATTCTGTTAATTAAATAGTTAATTGTAAACTATAAATATGAGCTTAAATTTATTTAAAATTAAAAGAGTCCCGATGAATCGGGGGTATTCAGTGCTCATGAACCCACTGAGAACAGCCTTACCTTAGCTACTGCTTCTGGAATCTAACGCTGACTCTGGTGTATGTCTCTATAGTGGTTAAACATGGGATGCAATTCATTTAAATAATTTGTAATCATCCGTTTTAGTTATATTTTGCAGTGGCAAAAATGATTGAGGTCATCTCCAAGTATTGTACAATAAAGGCTGATTTATACTTCTGCGTCAAGCGCACGCCTATGCTACGGCGCTGACGCATAGCCCTACGCCTGACGTGCACCTCTCAAAAAATTTAACTACACGTCGCAACAACGCGTAGCGCAAGCTCTGTGATTGGTCAGCTTGGTAGCGCTGACGAGTCTGGGTGGGATCGAGAGCCGTGCGAGCAGTTCGAGCCCAATGGAGCGATTGTTTACAAGTGTGGAGTCCCGCGAAGGAGCTCCTGATGGAAAGTTTTGACCTCATAGTTAAATTTGTTGCACGTCCGCCGGTTCCTGCCTCAAAATGAGCGAGTTTGAGCCATTTGTACATCCTGGAAGCGTTCAGAAAGAACAAAACACAGGCGAGGAAACTCCACACAGAGACACATTTACACCTCACTGCCAACTAGTGTTTCGGAAGTGTTAATGCAGACCAACAGAGACAGCGCGCAGATGTATAAATGCACTGCTACGTGCGTTGCATGCACCGTTGGTTACGCCAGTCACTTGACGCAGAATTATAAACCAGGCTTAAGTAGATATATTGATTATTGAGACAGGCCTAAGGTATACATTAATTTGTGTTTTAACCTGTGTTACAAAAAACAAAATACCTGTCATTTTCATCATCGGACCGCTATTGGAACTGATAAAATGCATGAAGTGACCACAGCTTTATAGGTCCTAGTATTGAGATGCATTTTAATCAATCTGATTACAAGTGGATGACACAAAATACAGATGTAAACTTTTAGGACTTCCAGGAGCTTGTCCACAAACACTACCATGGATGGTCAGATATGTTCAAAACCACAATGTAACACCACCACCTCTACACCTACTTACCAACATGTCAGTAATGTGGTGTGGTGTGTTAGAAAAACTTTGCTATTTTGTGTTATACCAACAGTTTTTAATCAAACTAGTTTCAGTTGGCCACATAGGAAAGGTATGTTAGTACCTGTTTAAAAAAGGGGCAAAGATGCATCCAATTGTGTACCTATAAAGCATCATAGAACATTTTAACAATGTAATGCTTGAAAGCTTTATTTGTAGGCAGATATGCACAAGTATGTTGGGATAAACAGAATTGCTGTCTTTTCTCCATAGGTGTGACATTGTGTCGGAGAGCATACTACTCTGAGTTGGTTTGCCCCAATATTGCAGCTTCCTGCAAGCTGCTCTGCATCACATCTGCTTCAAAATGGATGCTCTGTTGAATCCTGAGCTCAGGTAATCTTTCAAGTGCTGCTATTGAGCCAAGATGGGTGCAGCGTACCATTTGCTTTAATTAAAAGCTAAATGTAATGTGCACAGCTCTTTTACTTTAAAAAGTTGGCAAAACAGACGTTTTGTAGTAGCGTTGTTCAAATGTGATTCACTGAGTATTAGAGAATGCCGAATTTGATGTCTAATTTGATGTGGGCCAGTATAACTTTAGCTCTGTATGTCAGCGGACAGTATGCAAGAATGTTAAGCCATGCTTCCCTGGAGACTTAATCCTACTTCTTCAGTTCTGGGTTAAATTTAGTTGTGGACTATTGAGGGATTTCGGATGTATGCTCAAATGCTTGCACATAATAAATGTAGGCTTAAAAGATTTCAAAACGTTTGTGAGAGACGGATTTTACTTTGCACTCTTCCCCTTATCACAATATGAATCCTCAAAAATCACACGACTGTGGTCTGAATTATTAAATTTAATTGTAGTGATTCCTTTAATGTAGGCCAAATTGTCATCATAGAATCTAGCCGGAATTGAAAGTACTTTTATTACTTGGATATCCTGCTGTTTTTTTGTTCAGTTTTTAGAAGTTTAAAGCTATACTAAAATCTTTCTTTTTATTCTTGAATTATAGTTTATTTCCATTAGGGATATAGATTTAGCAGTATCTATATTGTATTAGAATGGCTAAAGTGGGTCACACATTCAAATTCTATATAATATATTGCATTATACATGTATACATTATATATAATGCATAATTATTTATGGTGCCCAGGAAAAAAAAAGGGTCATAGTAGATTGAGATATTGCCTGTCTCACAGACAATGGCATGAGAAGTCCCTCCCATTACAACTGCTATCATTGTGGGGCGACTTCATTATGAAGGTCAGATGGAGAAAAGTAGTCTCAGAAGAACATGTAACCTAGTTGCTGCTTGGTAACTTAATTTAGGTTTCATACGAGAACTAGCAAACAGTATGGTTATTTGTTGTTGAAAGTGTGCCAGTTGTGTATGATTTGAATGCATGTAAAAGAAGAAAAGTAATTTGAACTAGGGCTATATTATATTTCATAGACTTTTAGTATTAGATCTTGTTTTTTTATAAAAAGAGGTTGCTTTAATTTTTTGTAGTCATATTTTACGTACACTGCAATAATTTTCTGCTTCCTTCTTTTCATGCTGTTCTTTTGTGACAACAGAGAAGATGTAAAAGATTGTTCGGTAGGTCTTTCAATTCAGATATCTCAAAGTTTTACATACAAAATGTTGATTACACATTTTTGCTCAAAAAACATTTTTTTTGTACTATTTTTGTATTCCTAGATCAAGGTTGAAAACTTCCCTAAGCAAGTCATATTCAAAGGCCTTGCACCTAGGGTCGTATTGACAAACCATCTTCTGATGAAAGGAAACAAGACTAAAGTAAACCTTGAGGAACAGGGTCGACAGAAGGTCTCCTTCAGCTTAACGCAGACAAAGAAACCACGTCAAAATGTGTTTCTACCACCACCAAGCCCTGAGAAATCTGCAAGTGAACATTCTTCTACATCACAAGCTGGACCTGTACCTGTTTCCGTTCAAGCAGGACAAACCTATGAAACTAAGAATGTTGACACAAATACTCCAGCAGTTGGGGAGACCCAAACAGCCCCCACAGTATCCTTTTCTCTCAGATCAAGGCATGTTCTTGGAAAGATGCATTTTAAGAAACAGATTCTCAGCAGTACAGTTGTTGGGGATAAATCCACGGTCAGCACTGCCTCAGCAGAGATATCAGAGCCAGTTGTCCCATCTGATAAAATTACATCTTCCGCAAAGGTTGAAACTGAAAACTCCTTGCAGCAATCTCACAAGAACTCTGTTGTTGATGGTTCTTCTGAAAAGGTTAGCAAAGAGGAAAATCCTCAGGAGAAAATAGCCTCATGCCTTAAAGGTCCTGATTCTTCCCATATTGGGAAGGAAGATACAGATTCTTCCATTATTTCTGAGCATGAGGAAAGCAGAAAATCAAAACAGTGTTCAGACAGCAAGCTTGCAGGTTTAGAAACTGATGGGCAATCAACTAGAACATCATCTAGCCAGAAATCTAATGACCGCAGAAACAAAACAAAATCAGAAAGCCATAGTAATGAAGTGAAAAGATCATCCAATTCCAAAACAGAGTTAGACAAATCAAGGACTGATAGGAAAGATGAAGAAAAGGGGATAAGGCATTCAAAGTCTGATCGTGACTCTAGGCACATGTCTTCAAGATCTTCTCGATCTGACAGAGATAGAAGAAGGACCAAAAGTCGGTCACGGTCTAGATCTCGAGGCTCTCGAACTAGTTCTTATTCCAGATCTGAAAGATCAAGAAGTGAGAGACAGTCAAGGACAGATAGGTCACATTATCATGAATCTGAGCGGAGGTTCCATAGAAGTTCTCCTCATCGGGAAAGGAGAAGCTCACGTTCTCGAACTGATGGCAGGTCTCGTGACAGCTCTGACTCGGAGGATGACCACCGTCGAACAAGGACTCGTGGTAGTGACTCAAGCCGATCATCCACTTACTCTAGCTCACAAAAAGACTCAAAATCATCCACTCACTCTAGATCTCACAGGGACTCAAAACCTACAGATTGTTCTCGGTCCTCTGAGTCAGATAAAAGAGCACAACATTCAAAATCGGAATCCAATAGAAGGAGCTCTTCTGAAATAGATGCAGTTCACAAGAAATCCAGTGCCCGCACAAAATTGGAGGTTAATGATAAAATCTCAAATTCTAACCTAACTACCTCATCCCGAACATCTGAGAAAAAGATCCATAAAACCAGCTCTGACTCTGATGAGGAGCACAGAAGAAAACGTCAGTCACAAGGATCAGACAGGTCACCTAGGTCTGGGACTTCATCTTCCAGAAAAAACGATTTAGTGGATCACAATAGTTTTAATATTGGTACTGGAACAGAAAGACAATCAACAGACAGATTAAATACTAACGCAAAGGACTCGCAATTAGTCTTTGTTACAGTTACTTCTCAGAAGGAAAGCAGCAACATTGATGATCAGTGTACTCCGCCTAAATCTAAAAACAGTTCTCAACAGATGCATGAAGCTACCCACAAAGTTAATTTGTGTGAAACAAATAAAAAAGCAGAGCATCAACCTTCAAACCAAGATCTTAGTAGTTTAGAAAAGTGCACAAATGTTCCTGAAAGTAAAAAAACAACTGAAAGATTGACGGAATCTATTTCCATAACAAGTGGAAAACTTGAAGTTAGAAGTCCCACTGAGGTTGATGAACCTGGAATGAAAGTCACAGTTCCAATCCAAAGTGAAGTTCTGACAGTAGGACAGACTGAATCAATTTGTGTAGGCCCCGCTCCCAGTGAACATACTATGGGATCATTGACAGACTCTCTTTCTGTGAAAGAATTACCACCTGAAGGAAGCTTGATTTTAAACACTAAGTCGGATGAGTCATCACTAATCATTAGTCAAATCAGTACGCCTGTCACACTGACTGTTCAACCATGTGAAAAGGATTCTGAACAGAATATTGGGAGTCCTGAACAACCTAATACTGGGATTTCCAAAAAGGATGCTAGTGCTAAAAAATCTAGATGGGACATTGTTGGTCAAGTCACTTCAGAATATCAAAGCCCTGCGAAATTAGTGAATCCAGATGTGAAAAAAGTAATGTTAGCTCAGAAAATAGAGTTCAGTGATACTACCCCTGATAATTGTAGTCAGAAACTGGACCCAGAAGTACCATCTGAAAAGTCGGTAGAAGTTCATGCAAGAGACACCACCGCAGCTGAATCTCATCAAGAAATAAGTTCTTTCACATCTAATTTTGGAACTAAAGGTACCCATGATGAACTTCAAAAAACTGTTGAAATTCCTCAATCAACAAGTGCCCTGGTTGTTAGTGATTTTCAGCCTAGTAAAGAGAAAGTCAATGTAGACAAAACTAAACCTGAAATTCAAGACCCTGATTCCTTAAATCATGATGGAAAATGTCACAGTGATGATAGTGAGAGTGAAGAATCAGATTCTGATTCAGATGATGGACGGGTCTCCCTAAAGAGGTTGCACTCTGTAGTGGTTGTGCCAAAAAATTCAACCATTGCTCTTGAAACAAATGACAAGGCTGAACCCGCCCCTGCTTCCTCGTTGTTTTCTGGGAATCAGCAAACTGATACACATGAAAGCATTAATAAAGAATTTCCTTACGGATTTAACAATCAGTCAACACTCAAAGAGTCATCAGCTGCACTTTATAAGGGCAGTGCACAAGCTGCATGTCAAAGTCCAAATGTTAAAGGTGTCTCCTATCAATCGCAGAGCAACATGGTTGACAGCACCAGCCATTTAGAGGTCATGAGTGCCCATGTGGACAAGAACTGGAGTGCTCAAGAAAGACCAAATATCTCTGGCCAGATAAACCAAGAATATGTTCAGAATTTTGAGAAGACTTGCGAGAAACCTGAAACGGATCACCATCAGTACCATGGGAGACCAGATAGCTGGAACGGAAGGAAAGGTGACTTCAGTGTTGGGAGGGGTGACAGCTTGGTCTGGGACTTCAACCAGTCAGAACAGCCCAGCAGCACATTTCAGCAACCGGACAGCAGTTATAGTACACCTCAGCCACTGTTTGATAGTGTTCACAGAGAAGATCCATGGGCCCAGCCTGCCATCTCTAAAACCAGCAGGACAGTCAACACGCATGTGCCTTTTCAGTATCATGATTTAGTTCACCAGATTCATCCAGACTCTCTTACTAATGACCATGATGATGACCGTGAGGGAAGGATTTTGGGAATTAAACAAGCATCATTATTATCTGCTGGCCTACCAGGACCATCCCCATTTGTTCAAGCGCCTGAGATAAGTAGCAACTGCAGCTTCACAACAGAAAGTCAGAACATCTCGGAAGCACCTAGAGATGACAACCAAAAGCCTCATCGAGGAAGGGGCCCACCTAAGAAGAGACGCCAAGAGTTTGAATCTGAATCAGATAATGAGGCAGAGGCAGGCCTGAGTAAAAGGGAGTGTTTTGATGAGAGCTCAAGGCCTTTGAAAGATGCTAAGGAGTCTTTCCATCAAATTCAAGAGGTTCAGCGACCACTTCTCAGTCTGAAAGAATTTTCGGATCCATTTGTGTGGAGGGATAAAGCCAAGCAGAAAAAAATGCCTCCCTACTTTGACCTTATCGAAGAAAATTTGTATTTAACTGAACGGTAAATATCTGTTTTGTTCTCTTGCATCATTTGTATACCTGGTAGTGCTAGGCGATTTGACAAAAAATACTATCTGCTGATATAAGTGCTCTCATATCCTGATATATCACAGTGTAATGTATTTTCTTTATATTCAATTCGTTAGCATAAAATAGTGCACAATAAAATGCTAAATGTTTAGAAATGGTGAGAAAATTGCAAGTAGAGATCTGCGTGGGACTAAATTTTTAATCCCGCTCCCACCAGGTTACAGTCCGAACCCCACCGCTCCCGCTTATATTTAGCATTTGTTGTCCCGCTGCCCGACCCGCCGCATTTTCTACCCGCTGCGACCATTCCCGCTAACAAAAAATCCACCTAGCTACATGATACAAGAGCTACATGAGTCAAGACAGCCTATAACAAGCTTTCTGTATAAACACACACACACACACACACACACACACACACATAGACACAGAGCACCAAGCAAGCAACACACTGCATCACGTTCTCTCTTATTCACACCCATACATGCACACATAGACAGCACCAAGCTCTCTCTCTCATTCACATACATACACACACACACATAGACAGCAAAAAACAAGCTACACACAGCATCACGCTCTCTCATTCACACACATACATGCGCTTGCTCGTTCGCTCGAGAGTTGGGAGTGATATTGTTAGACCGCCCGCTCCCGTTTGAATTACTCCAGTTACCGAACGCTCCCGCGCTTTATTCGAAATTTTTTTCCAGCGCTACAAGAAATCTGGTTCTGCAGTGCAGCTCTGGGAATGCAGACCTCTAGTTGCAAGCTTGAAAGTACAATGTTTACATTGTACTTTTAAGCTTGAAACTTTCTCACCATTTTGTTATTTAAGTTTCTGCTTGAATCCAGGTAAATTATCCAAATGATGAAAAAATAAATACAGTAAACAATATGTTTTGCATTATATTATAGAGCATAATGATTATAAATTATAGTAAATATAATTATAATAAATAATAAATTATAGATATTTTATTTTGCCTATACAATATATATTGTCATATTGCACAGCTCTAGTACCCGTCAATAAAATATATGGCTTGGTATGGCCATTCTTTGAAGTAATTTTTTTTTGTTTATTCATTTAATTTCATCATTAATAAAGCTTAAAATCTGTCCCTACAGAAAGAAGAATAAATCTCATCGAGACATTAAGCGTATGCAGTGTGAGTGTGCTATCCTTTCAAAAGAAGAGCGAGCCCGAGGAATACTGGCATGTGGGGAAGATTGCCTGAATCGCTTGTTGATGATTGAATGGTAGATATTACTTCTATTGTATCATACTAAGTACTGTATCATACTCTCTGCTTTATAGCAGAGAGAACATAAAGAGAAAGCCTGTAGTTAATACTGTGTCATTTTTATGTTACTTGCTGATTTTATATTTGACAGATTGATTCAAATCTTATAGGAACACCCCACTTTTTTTGGAAATAGGCTCATTTTACAAGTCTCCTATTGTTAAACAGTTAAACTACCATTCCCTGCGTCTGGCAGGAGCATTTTTAGCTTAGCATAAATTATTCATTCGATTAAGCTATTAGCATCTCACTAAAAAAAAAAAAAATGGAGTTTCAATAACTTTCTATTTAAAGCTGGACTAATCTGTGGTTACATCATGCACTATAATATGAACAACTAAAAGTTATTACTAAGATGATATGGCCAGGAACTATACTCTAACTCTAATTATCAAGGAACTTTGCTGCCAGACCAAGTCAGCAGCAGGCACAATAGTATTATTGCAGAATGAGAGTATAGTTTCTAGTCATATCGGCCTAAAAAGTTATTTTAATTTTTTAATTTTTTTGAGTGAGATGCTAATGGTCTATTCCGATTCAGTGGTCTGTGCTTAGCTAAGCTAAAAGTGCTAGCGCTAGTCTCAGAGATCAGCTGAATGGATTGAAAAAATTTTAAAACTCAACTGTTCAACTCTAGGTGACTTGCAAAATGAGCATGTTTCCCAAAAAAGTTGTTTTTTAATATTTACAAGATTTCAAGATTCAAAATATTTCAAAGCTGTTTATTTAGAATGTGGAAGGTAAGATTTCCCCCTTTTTCTTGTACTTTCAAGCTCTTCCAGGTGTTTAAATGGAGCATACTGCTCCAACCGGCGCTTCCAGATGAAACAGCATGCAGACTATGAGGTTATTTTGACTGAGAGCAAAGGATGGGGTTTACGAGCAGCTAAAGACCTCCAGCCGTAAGTACCGTATGGTTCAACTAATAGTTTTTTTTGGGGTACATTTAAATATGTCTTTTATGCCTGTTACTTCTAAAATGTAATGATTGATGTATTTTTTCCAGGAACACCTTCGTTTTAGAGTACTGTGGAGAGGTTTTGGATCACCGGGAATTTAAGGCACGCGTGAAAGAGTATGCTCGAAACAAGAACATTCACTATTATTTCATGGCTTTGAAAAATAATGAGGTAAGTCATCAGCGCACTAAAATCTACAAATTAGAACTGTTGGTAATCTACATAAGTGTGATATTGTTTCATATCATTCGATATTGGTAATTATTGAATATTTTTTAGCAGTTCAAATTTAATATTTAATTTTTAATTTCACCACTTTATTGTAATTTACCAACATTACAAAGACAAATAGTTATAAGAGTCAAAAACATGTAAACAAAATATCTAATCTCCTTATAATAAAAAAACAAGTGTTTTAGAGTCTCTTAAACTTGAAAAATACAATGTTACAAAATGTGTGCAATGCTAAACCGTAAATACTGAACAATCAAAGCAAACTTTAAGGTCTAAATAAAAATCATACAGTAAACCTCAAACTCTGTCAACAACACAAATTATGATAAGTAAATCTGAGCTTTCAAGTAAATGAACCGACCATCATTATTCAAATACACACTGCAATATTTCAAACAGTGAAGTTGTATGACTATAGTACCCCTATGCTAAAAAAAAATCTTTCACATGGTGAGCTAGTGGCTGGGATGTTGTTCTGACCTGTGAAGTGACAAGCTTGCGCGTAGATTCCTTGACCATTTACAATGTACTTTGCTTGCGCTCCCCTGGTGGCTCTGGTAACTAGGTGACCATCAAGTGTTTTCTCAGAGGATGACAAATGAACAAACCATTGCTGTGGTTTACTTTATAGAGAAAAGTAAAATGCGCTACAGTATTTGGGTGCGCTGCAGTGTTTGTCTGAGGTATTTAGTCTGCCGTTAATACAGAAATGTGTACATTCCATACAAGGTGTGAAGCAGATTGGTTAGTTGTACTTACATGAATCTCAGTTCGCACGTGGTGTTCGGAAAGTTGAAATGTTTTCAAATAGATGTGACTGGAAAATGTGCGCGGTTCACGTGCCTAAATCGGAAATGACAAATTGACACCCTAAGTTTAGTGGCACTGCTTCTAGGGTGCATACTCAACAGCCACAGTTTTAATAAAACTGTAGTGCTTCATACCGAAGTATACAGAATCGCTCTCTCTCTCTCTCTCTCTCTCTCTCTCTCTCTCTCTATTTATATATATATATATATATATATATATATATATATATATATATATATAATATGTATATATATGTGTGTGTGTGTATATATATATATATATATATTTTTTTTTTTTTGGAGCAATTGGATGGCAATAATGGCCAAACCAGCCGACCAAACACATTGTAAAACATCTGAAATGTTGTTTTGGTCATTTCAAAGTACCTTAGATCAAGGCCAATTCCCAATTCTATTTTTGTACCTCTACCCCTTCCCCTTCCTCTTGGCCCTTAAAACCGAGTGTGAAGGAGAAGGGCTTCAAAATTGACCCCTAAGACATGGACACCACTACAGCCCCTGCACACGTCATCATATGTCATCGGGATCTCATAGGTCATATGAGATCAGATGATTGCCACTGCTGTAGTGATTCCAGTTTTGTTATTTTTTTGGTATTTATCTACAGGAAGTCACTGTTAATGTGGCAATATGGTTGTAACTATACTGCACATTTATACAGTGGCCATATTAATCTATGTAAACACACCAAAAACACCATTAACATTATACCAGACACTGTAAAAAGGTTATTCCCAGCCCTTAGACTTTTCTAGCTCCGGGTGCAGCTATACTGCTGTTGTGGTTTGTGTATTCTAGGAAATTTTCTTACCCCTTGGTTTCGAGTGTGGACCTAATAAATCACTGTTTGAAATGGTATATACCCATTCCCCTACACCTTCAAGCTAAAGAAGATTTGGACACCACTAACCTTTAACGTGAACACAAAACGAGGGGTAGTGGTAAGGGAAAGGGCTAAGGGGTCAAACTGTAATTGGGCCTAAGTCCCTCGTCAAAGTGGTTTGGTATTATTACTTTCAGAACTGTCTCACTCCTCCAAAAGCCACCACTCGTTCATTGAGTTTTGTTTTTCATCTTCAGGGGTGCAAATAATTTATTAAATAAGACAAAACGCCCACGTTGATTTCTTCTACCACAGCAAATTTCATTTTTCTTTTTGACATTTGGCACCAGTTCATCAGGAATTGGTGATTTTTTTCTATTTGACTTATTGTTTGAAAACATGGCTTTATTCATAGGTGTTTTATGTGATATTCCAATTTGCGCATAAGTGCGTCTTTGGATGGACACAGAAGATGTTCCTCTTCTGTTAAATAAAATTGTATTGTGAAACCAGTATCAAAATTGTGAGTTGAGTGAACCATTATATTCCTAAAACACTATATGAGCATTTGTCTCCATTTATGCCGGCAGATAATTGATGCTACTCTAAAAGGGAACTGCTCTCGTTTCATGAACCACAGCTGTGAACCCAATTGTGAAACTCAGAAAGTAAGTGCTTTTGATTTTCATTGTGGTCTCAGGCTTTTCTTACTCTGTTATGCCTCCACACAGAATCCTACACATCTCATTTTTATTCATAGATTTTCCAGTTTTAGTGTTTTATTTAGAAACACCACCTCCACATCCAGAATGAGAAGCAGAATGTCAGTAAAAAAATGTAAATGGGATTGTTTTTTGTGATATTGGTCAGAAATGAATTAAAAGAGACTGAATTTAATATCTAATAAACAAATAATTGGTTTTACTAAGTAAGCAGTGAAAAACTTTTTTTGCACGTGTTTGCTTAGATCTTAGTTTGTATCCAAAAACAGACAAAAAAATCTTTATCTTTTCACATCATTGTTATTTTTGCACTTGTAGCAAATTAGAACCATTGATTTGAATATAAAATCATTGATTTACTTTTCTACATTGTACTCTTTGCAGTGGACTGTTAACGGCCAGCTCAGAATCGGCTTCTTCACTACCAAAGCTGTAACAGCTGGAACGGAGCTCACTTTTGATTATCAGTTTCAAAGATACGGGTAAAAATAAATTCGGCCATTTTCTTTAGTGCAAACCTTAAAATAAAGCTCGACTTGAAATATTGATCATGATATCACATTTTTATTCCTCTGTCCAACAGTAAAGAGGCTCAGAAGTGCTTCTGTGGAGCTCCTAGCTGTCGCGGTTTAATTGGTGGCGAGACTCGGGTCAGTGTTCGAGCAGCAGGTGGAAAAAAACAGAGGGAACGCTCACGGAAGAAAGACACTGACAGTGCACTAACCACGGTGAGGAAGAGGCCATCATTTGTGTGCCAGTTATTGGAAATAACAAAAAAAAAGCAGAATGAATGCACATGTTTTACAGTCCATAACACTGTCATAATATGTCATTGATTTAATTTAGTCAACATTTGTGCTTGAAGGTTATACTAAATCTAGAAAAAAATAACACTGGCCTTCTGTACATTGGAACCGTTATATGAAACTGTTGTCTAAAAACACAGCAGTACCAGAGTAATGATCTCGTGGTTGAATTGGGTCAGCTTTGTTCTTGCTTGCAAGTTAATTGCTTTGAGACTTTCAGGGCCTGTTCCAGTCTACAAATAACACCGCTAATACACTCCGCATGCATTCAAGCTAATTGCATTTTTAGGCTTGTTTGAACTAGCACTCTTCATCTCTGGCACAGAACTGCATTATTAGCAAAAAGTATGTGGGGGAAAAACCTGATACGAGAAATTGGAAATGAGCCTTTGACATGGTCAAGAGAGATTTCTCCTGTGATTCTGCTGCTGTCTAAACTGATTGACTTTGTTCTGCAGTTAGATGAGGAGTTGGAGGCTCTGCAGGAGAATGGAGAAGGCTTATGTGGAGAGAAGGAGGTGATCTCACTTTGCAGACTCATGGTGCGAGTGGAGACGATGGAGCAGCGACTCACCTGCCTTAAACTCATCCAGGTAAACTGCATCATTGTACTGATGCATATTGAATGTACTAGACTGCACAGCACTGCTGTGTTACAGGACATACTGATGCATGTTTAATATGATTAAAAACTGACCTTGCTCAACTTTTTTCCATCCATGTGTAGAATACGCAGAATCCCTTGTGCTTGAAGCAGTTTTTGGATCACCACGGTCTCTCGTTGCTGTGGATATTTATGGTTGAACTTTCTGAGGCTAAGACCAACTCTGTAAACAACATTAAACTTCAACTGGAGGTAAATGTTCATGGTGTGACTCATTTTAGAATTGTGAGCACATTTTAAACATTTTCCATTCATTTTACTTCAACTGGAATGATACACAATGTAAATTACAGTAGATTTAATACATTATTAATGTAAAACAACACAATTTTTTAAATCACTAACAAAGTTGACTAACATATTCGACATTTTGTGCTACTTTAGCTCAAGACACTAACCTCAAACCAGATATGGCATGTCTAAAACAAAATATTTATGTATTTTGATCGTGTTGTTTTTAAAAAGTGAAGGAGAAATTTACTGAAATATCACAGTAACAGTGTTGAGAAATAATGAAGGCATATATTGGATTTGTTTTGTTTTATTTGTATTATTCTTACAAATAATTTAGCAGTTTCTTGAAGGTAAACCCTTTTTGTGGTTATTTCCAAATTTTTAGATAATGAAAGCTCTATCAGTGCTTCCCATCTCAACCAAGAACATGCTGGAGGAGAGCCGAGTGCTGCAGTTTATCCAACGCTGGGCTCAAAGCCGGTCACTCAGCCAACCGGCAGAACAGGACGGCTACTCTAGTGAAAGCACATCACGTGCCCAAACACCTCTCAACACCCCTGACGGTCCACCAGCCAAGCTGGCCACTGAGCTGGATGGGGACACTCCCAAAAGAGCAGTGTACCGTAGATTAAAGATCATTAGTGAAAACAGTCTGGACAGTGCCCTGTCTGATGCTAGTAAAGCCTCCGATGGAAAAGAAGAAGAGGATGAAGAAGAGGAAGAGATGGAGGATGAGCCTTCAAAATTAGAGAGCACAACAGAAAGGAAGATAAAAGTAGAAAGCACCGAAGCACCTCCTGTGAGTCAAGCTGAGCTTGAGGTCGAATTGAAACAGGAAGCCCCTGAAACAGTAGAAATCCCACGTTTAATGCCAGAGGCTGTTGGCAGTGAGGGAGAGACACTTGAAACTCAAGAACCTGAAGAAAAACTCCTCTGTACGCCTGAAGGGCAACTAAAGGATGAGAAGACTGTGGAAGAGACTAAGAGTGATGAGCCGTCAGAGAATCAGACAGAGTCAGCTGCAGTTAAAGAAGACCCTTTAGTCACAGACACCACATCTGCAGCAGACATTAGTAATGATGTAGTTGCTGATGCAGAAACCCCTGTCACGGAGACACAGGTGGAGAATGCATCCTCTGAACAGTCTACCTCTGAAGAGGACGCAAGTTGCAGCACTGCAGAAATCACTTCCGCACAACCAGCAGAAGTCATAATAGAGGGCATATCTTCTGATTCTGCAGCTATTGTAATAAAAAGCACACCCAAAGAGTCTCCATCTGTTTCTGTAAAGACCCCTCCAACTGGTTCTGATGTGGTTTCTAATGGAAACGCACCTTCAGAGGCTGTTTTTGCACCTTCAGAGGCTGTTGCTGCACCTTTAGAAGCTGCTGTTGCCCCTTCAGAGGCTGTTGCTTCCTTTCCTGAGGCTGTTGCTTCCCTTCCTGAGACTGTTGCTGCACCTGCAGAGGCTGTTGATGAACCTGCGGAGGCTGTTGCTGATCCTGCGGAGGCTGTTGCTGATCCTGCGGAGGCTGTTGCTGATCCTGCGGAGGCTGTTGCTGAACCTGCGGAAGCTGTTGCTGCACCTGCGGAGGCTGTTGCTGCTCCTCCAGAGGCTGTTGCTGCTCCTCCAGAGGCTGTTGCAGCACCTGTCTCTGCTGATGTGTCAGCTCTGGCTATTGTGCCTGTTCCAGCAGAGGGTGCTGCAGTCGGGACACCCTCTCAAGATGAGGAGGAAGGGGTTTCTGATGTTGAGAGTGAACGCAGTCAGGAGCCACAAATTCGGGCTTCTGATATCAGTGACATGGCTGCTCGGCTGCTGGACAGTTGGAAAGACTTAAAGGCAAGTCTATGATTTATTAAAAGTGGACATTTACTGATGCTTTAGGCAAGGTCTAGGTTAGGTCACCAAACTCAGTCCTGGTGTTAGTCCTGGTGTTTAGCTCCAAACTAAATACTTAAAATAAAAACACTTGAACAAACCAAAATAGGTCTTACAAGGTATAATTGATATTTCCAGGCAAGTGTGTTCAGCCAAGTTGGAGCTAAACTCTGCAAGGACACTGTTTCTTCAGGACCAAGATTTGAGACACCCACTATAAAAATGATACTTTACTATTGTAATAATATTTAAATAGTATTTAATAGTAATACAATTTTTAGTTCAAGTTCAGTAAAACTGATTGTTTGAAGAAGCCAATTTAGCACAAAGGTACTAGTGAAGCCCAAAGTATATTTTTTGTAGGTGTGTGTCTATCTAACATCTTTGTTAAATCTCTCTCTCAAAAGTAGTTCAATGCCATTATTATTATATTTCACATGTAGGTAAATAACTATGGCTTTTTATCTTGCTTGAGTTTATTGGTCTTTTTATATCATGTTCGATTTTGCAGTGTGTCTGATAAGTTGATATATTGTAATAGCTCGTTAAGCTTTAGGACACATCCATAACACATCGATGGTTTCCCTTTGTGCTTTTTAATGTTTTCAAAGCAGCAGCTGTTAATGGGGAGTGACTCATACTTGTTCACTGAATGCACACACTCGCTTTGTACTGCTCTGCATTGAAAGTTATGATACTTTTGCGTACTGAAAGATTATTAATCTGTATATCTTGTGCATACTGTATAAAACAGCCTGAAAAAAAAACATGTGAAAAACTTTTTTTTTTAATTGTCGCAAATTTGTTAAAAAAAAAAAAAAAAACTGAAAAAATCACATGTACAGAAGTATTTACAGCCTTTGCTCAATACTTTGAGGCACCTTTGGCAGCAATTACAGCCTCAAGTCTTTTTGAATATGATGCCACAAGCTTATCACACCTGTCTTTGGGAATTTTTGCCCATTCTTCTTTGCAGTACCTCTCAAGGTTTGTCAGGTTGGATGCGAAGTGACGATGTACAGCTATTTTCAGATCTCTCCAGACATGTTCAACAGGATTTAGGTCTGGGCCCTGGCTGGGCCACTCAAGGACATTCACAGAGTTGTTGTGAAGTCACTCCTTTGATATTTTGATATATATCATTTTTCTGCTGGAAGGTGAACCGTCGCCTCAGTCTGAGGTCAAGAGTACTCTGAAGCAGATTTTCATTTAGGATTCTTTCCCTCTATCCTGACTAGTCTTCTTGTTGCTGCTGCTGAAAAACTTTCCCACAGCGTGATGCTGCCACCACCATGCTTCACTGTAGGGATGTTATTAGCCTGATGATGAGTAGTGCCTGGTTTTCTCCAAACGTAATGCCTGGCATTTACTACAAAGAGTACAATTTTTGTCTCATCAGACCAGAGAATTTTGTTTCTTATGGTCGGAGAATCCTTCAGATGCCTTTTGCCAAATTCCAGCTGGGTAGTGGCTTTTATCTGACCACTTTTCCATACAGGCCTGATTGTGGATTGCTTCAAGAATGGTTGTCTTTCTGTAGGGTTCTCCTCTCTGCACAGAAGAACGCTGGAGCTATGATAGAGTAACCATCGGGTTATTGATCACCTCCCTGATTAAGGCCCTTCTCCGATCACTCAGCTTAGATGGCCGGCAAGCTCTAGGAAGAGTCCTGTTGGTTCCAAACATATTCCACTTACAGATGATGGAGGCCACTGTGCTCATTGGAATTTTCAGAGCAGCAGACGTTTTTCTGTAACCTTCTCTAGCCTTGTACTTCGAGACAGTCCTGTCTCAGAGGTTTACAGACAATTCCTTTGTCTTCATGCTTGGTTTGTGCTTTGACATGCACTGTCAACCCTGAGACCTTATATAGACAGTGTGCCTTTTCAAATCATGTCCACATAACTGCACTCCAATTAACTGAACTCCAGTTAAGCTCCTGGAACATCTCAAGAATGATCAGTGGAAACAGAAAGTACCTGAGCTCAATTTAGAGCCTCACATTAAAGGGTGTATATACTTATGCACATGTGATTTTTTTCAGGTTTTTTTAATTTAGTATTTCTGCAACAACTTTAAAAACTTTTTTCACATTGTCATTATGGGGTATTGTGTGTAGAATTTTGAGGAAATAAATGAATTTAATCCATTTTGGAATAAGGCGGTAACATAAAAACTGAAGCGATATGAATACTTTCCGAATGCACTGTAATTGTAGTTCAAAGACATTTTTAGCGATCATCACTTTAGAAGAGAAATAGCATTTTCTCTTGACAACGTTGAAACATTATGTTGACCATGTGTATTGACTGCCTGTGTTCATAAACTTTGTCAAATCAAGTCAACTTTGAAAGGCTAATCATTTGGTTTTGCTAAGCATAGACTTTGGGGAAAAAAGTATACTTTGGGCTTGTTGCGTTAACAATTGCTTTTTAATAGGAACTGTTGTGAACTTGATCATCTTGATCCAACAAGACTAAATCATGTTGGAACACAAATAAACCATCTGTTTTTCTTTTAGGAGGTTTACAGAATACCGAAAAAGAGCCAGGTTGAAAAAGAGTCAAATGGTAGGACAAGAACACACTGTACTTTTACTTAACACAAATTGAATATTTTAATTCAGTTTGGTCATGATCTCTGATCTGTGTTTTATTTTTTTCCTCAAACAGATCGCAGTCGTGATCGGGAATCCTTGATGACCCCTCGCACATCTTCGAGCAGTCGAGAGAGAGAACGAGAAAGAGACAAGGAGCGTGATCGTGATCGGGACAGAGACTGGGAGCGTGAACGAGAATGGGATCGGGATAGGGAAAGGGACAGGGATGGAGAAAGGCCAACCCTTCGCAGTGCAGATAGGAAAAGACGACGAGGATCCACCTCCCCTCTGCCACCACCAGCATATGAGAGGAGCCGCAGGAATGATGACCGGTAATGCACTATAAAACAAAGACATGCTGACAAATTCTGACAATCGTCCTAATTTTTTGGTGAAATATCCGATTTTTGACTCTTAAATATGTGTAAGAACGTTTTTTGTTTAAACATCTTCAGGATCAAACTGTTTGATCTATGACTGCTGATGGGTGATGTCATGTTTAGTCTACACTGCAGGAAAGATCAGAACTGCTGAATTTACAACATGTTAATTCACTAAATTCACAAACTCGGAACATGCTAATCACATGGCAGAAATGGTTAATTTAGTACTTTTCTCGAGGTCCACTTATAATATTTGAGATTTAAACTTTAAAAAATGTTAGTTTAGAAGATAAGGGCCATTTAATTGTCCTAATCTGAACACCATTTGATTTGATAAGGTGAATTGTAGGCTAGGAAGGAAAAGGCCACTGGTATGATTACCTGACTTTCTGTAGGATCCAGTGAAGGCACTACAAAGATGTGTTTTTCTGCTAATTAGATCTGTACAGCAACTTATTGTCTTTTGAGCTGTCTTTATTGTTTGGTTTTTGGAAAATCTTTTTTTTTTTTTTTTTCAACAGATAAAACATATGATATCAAGCAGTTTGACCGTTTTCTGCCGTTAATTACTCGTAGTCATTTCTCAATATCTCGCCATCACCTCTTTCACACCACAGAGCGTGAGCAGTGCATGTTTTTTTAGCATCTATGTTAACAGCAGTGCTGCGATCATTTCGGCGCTTGGTCTTTTTTTTTGCCGCACATCATGCTCAATTAAAATGACAGTGCATTGATAATGACCGAAAAAATCAATTATACCCAATAAATGCATCGATAAGGTCCACTGAGTTTTATATAGTCAATCAAAAGAACTTAAATGATTAAAAAATGCAACAAATATTTGTTTGGTCCTGAACCACAAAACCAAGTTTAAAACAGTTTTAGTTTTGCTTAAGTTGCACACAAGTTTAATCCTGTATAAATATTATTATAAGCATATTGGGTAATTATTATTATAGCTATAAGCGTACATCATGCTGGCGAACAAAAACAGGCGATTGTCTTCTGAGAGAGTGTACTGTTTCTGATTTACATATGCCATGTGCACATGCTGCTTCAGCTCTGCTTGCATGCAGTGTGAATGTGTGCCATTGGAGGAGATCCTGTTGCAGGACCTAGATAGTTGCTGCGCATGACAGGCGTTGTGCGATTTGTGCAACTATTTTAACCTACACATGCTGATTAAGCTGACTTTGCTATAATATTTGTATAATATTTCTAATTATGGAGTAGCTCTTTAGCCAATAAGGCTAATTAAGTAATGACAAAAAAAACACAAATGCTTGGTCCTGGCCCCTGGGTTGGGTCAGTTCAAGTCTGGGCTCAGGCAGAGAATCTAAAGTCGAATCAAAAACAATCCCAAAAGCGAGCGCACATCCACATTAAGGAATAAGGTCAATAGGAAACTTTTATAGGTGTGAAACATCTTGTGGCAAAAGATTAAGGAAATTTTTATTTAATAGGTAATGACCCAATTTTTTCGAAAAACTATTTTTGTTTGGAAAAATATTGAGCAGAATGTATTTGAAGAAATGAGTGTTAATTGTCTGCATGCTAATGCCCAGATTTTCTTTATATTCCATAGTTATGAACTGTCCAGCAGTAGCAAGAAGAAACTCCACACCAAAGAAGCTCGTACTAAGCTGTCTACGGAGGAACGACGTAAGCTCTTTGAGCAAGAAGTGGCTCAACGTGAGGCACAGAAACAACAACAGCAGCAGTTGCAGCAGCAGCAGCAACAACAACAACAACAACAACAACAGCAGCAGCAGCAGCAGCAACAACAACAACAACAACAACAACAACAGCAACAGCAACAACAACAACAACAGCAGCAGCAGCAGCAATTACAAACACTTGCATTTAATCCCCTGGCCTACACCTCTAGTCCGAACTTCATGAACTACCCGCCTGGATACCCTATTCAGACCTATGTAGATCCCACCAATCCCAATGCTGGAAAAGTGCTCCTTCCCACCCCTCCTGTAGAGCCTATTTGCGTCACTCCAGCTGCTGGTACATTTGAACAACCACCTGCTCTTGATCTTGGTATAGCTTCACCATCGTCCACCACCACCCAGGCTGGACCTGCCTCCAGCTTGGCACACATTCCTGCCCCTCTGGAGCTTTCTTCTGGCACACAAACTCAGTTTGTTCAGCCTGCCGTGCCAGCGCAGGATCCGAGTGTAGCTGTTCTGTCAGTGCCCGCACAAGCAGCCAGCCCTCAGATCCCGAGTCAGCAGGGCTACACCACGCTCTGGGACCCCAACACACAGCAGGCGGTGACGGTGCAGACGCAGCCAACACAGCAGTACTCAACCACGTCACAGCCTCAAGCTGCTATCTACTATCAGGGCCAGCCCTGCCAGACCATCTACAGCATTCCTGCAGGCTACCCGCAAACCAACCCTCCTGTCATACAGGTTGGACCGCAGTATTTATTTTTTAATCCTCATTTTCACTGTATTTATTTAATTGATAAACTTGCAGGTTTATGCAAAGCACTGCATAAATCTGGAAATGATGAAAAGGCTATAAAAACTTTGCTATTGCACAGAGCGATCGTTTTACTTTATAAGACCTCTGTGCATTGTCAGGAACCCCAGGTAGTAATTATGACTTGCATGCAAAAGTTTTTTTATAACTCACTAGAGCAGCAGTGGCTGAAGCACTCACAAACAGAAAGTGCATGCCTGAGAAAGTTTTTCACATTTCAAAGTTTTATGTGTACCTATTATTATAAACATTTATGAAGTAACATCTTCTCACAGATATAAAATATATCCTAAGTAAGTAACAGGACTATGAAAAATATAACTATATAAATGCATAGCAATACTTAAATAAGTATTAAAACTAGGTGATGGGGATGAGCGATATGGGCAAAAAAATCATATCCCGCTATTTTTATGAAGAATGAAGGTATACGATATTTATCCAGTTTTTCCCATAAATGGTTAGTTGAGTTAAAGCCTTTATTAAAACTTTATTAAACAATGTTTGAGTAAAATATAATTCAAACACAGGGTTTTCCTTCCCTCTTTACAAGCTACCCAAAAAAATAACAGCTGCACACAATCCTTGATAAATAAAATACAGTATGGGTTTTTCTCCTGCTTAAAACTATAAGTTGCACAGCATTTCAAATTATATAAAAATCTTTGAAAATTAAATGCTGTACAGTACAGGGTTTTTTCCTGCTTTACACTATATACAGCACTACTGTGCTGTTTTGCAAATAACAAAGTAAACAGACTCATAGAAAACATAGCTTCATTTTCAGAGCAAAAAAGGAACACTTTTAAATAGTAACACCAAAAAAATATTGTAGGATAAAAAAAGAACCACATTGAATAAATATGAAACACTCAGTATTTTATGTCACAATTACAGTGTTATAGGTAATCCTGTTGACCACAGTTAAATTAGCTGTATATGTTTTTTAGTTGCACATTTACGTGAATGTGTTGTGCACAATAAGTCTTTCACTCCATGTAAAAAATCCTACACTTTTTCTTTTGTTTTGACTGAACTTGTTTTACTAAATATTAAATAAGGAGATGAAAGCCTAGAGACTATAGGTATGAGAAGTAATGAAATTGTTTTAGAGTGCTGTGATGAAATGCTGGTTAAGCATATGTAAACAGTCATTATAGAGCTAAATGTGTTATAATGTAAAAGTAAAGAAGAGACTGTCATGTAATAAATACTGAACTTTACTTTTTATGTCACTTTCGAAATGCGATATAAATTCATCCCATTTTGGCGTTTTTAATTCTTTTGAACACATACAGGTGCTGCTTGTCAATTTGACAAGGCTTATATGTTCGTTCTTGCTGTAAATTGCAGAAGAAATAATCGCTAAAAGGTTTCTGATAAAATGCTGTGACAGCTGCAGGCACTGTGTGTTGTGCGTGCACTCGAGGGGGGTCAGATTTTGATATAACACCGGCACTACATGTTTCTCCATGTCGCGTTAATGACGGGTCTTTCTTGAATGATTTAAGCCTAATTTATACTTCTGCGCCAAGTGACCGGCGTAACCCACGGCGCATGCAACGTGCGTGGCTGTGCATTTATACTTCTGCGCGCTAACTCTGTCGGTCTGCATTAACACTTCCGAAACGCTAGTTGACAGTGAGGTGTAAATGTTCCTCTGTGTGGAGTTTCTTCGCTGCTTTTTTTGCTTTTCCTGAACACTTCCGGGATGTACAAGTGGCTCAAACTCACTCATTTTGAGGCAGGTACCGGCAGACGTGCAACAACTTTTAACTATGAGGTACACACAAAACAAAACTTTCCATTCGGAGCTTCTTCATGGTACTCCACACTTGTAAACAATCGCTCGCGCCATTCGCGCGGCTCTCGGTCCCGCCCAGACTCGTCAGCGATACCAAGCCGACCAATCACAGAGCTTACGCTACGCGTCGTTGCGACATGTAGTTACATTTTTTGAGAGATGCACATCAGTGACGGCGACGGCCACGGCGAAGGGCTATGCGTCAGCTCTGTAGCATACGCCGGCGTTTGACCCAGAAGTATAAATCAGCCTTTAATTTGAACAAATCTTTTGTATGACTCATGGAGTGAATCATTAATTTGTGCATGCTCGGATTTGTGCAAGTGGAGCTTGCCTGCTACCTTGGAGGGGTCTGGTTCACGCAGAATGCGGACGTGTGGCCTCAAACCATATCGATATGAAAGATATTGGGTAATCCCACATCGCGTTGGGGAATCATATCGAAATATCCCCAGAACTCAATATACTGCCCAGCAGAAGTGATCACTTCTTGTCAAAAATATAAAGCTATTGGCAACCCTGACAGTCTCCCATGGGTTGACTTTTGTGAGTTGGCCACTCTCACTTATTTACATTTCAGACACAGTAAAATTTATGGCACAAATTTTATTTTGTCGTTACTATATATACCATCACACCACCCTGTCCTATAGTGGCACAGTATTGTGTGTTGCTTTTTTGAACAGATCCACCACTTTTGGCGCTCCTAAACAATCACAAAGCCCTCGTGCTGCAGGAATGAGGAGGTCTGCTGAAGGCTCGCAGCTGTTATGCAGTGAGGGGTTTGCGTCTTTAATAATCTACGGCAGTTTGTATTCATTGAACACTAAGATTGATTAATAAATCCATATGAAAGTCCCTTAAAAGTCATGTCTCGTTTTCAGTTTCGGCCTTTGGCGTGTTTTGCACTCACACTACAAACGTACCGCGCCAAAGGCCAAGTGAACCACACTCAGGCCCACCTCTTCCAACCGGGCCAGGGCCGGCCAAGTGAACTGTGCCTGAGCCCGATTCAGCGCGCACACACTTCTCAAACGATCCAGGAAACAGGCCTGGGCACGGTTCGGATAGCATAGTGTGAGTACGCCCTAATAATGAGTGAAAAGGATCTATTTATATGTAGTCCATTACAGCGTGGCAAAATTGATTCATTTTCAGAATTATGAGTGATTTTCTGATGTCATCACTGTCCTATACATTGAATTTAGAGCAATTTAAAGTCTATTCATGTCCACAAACCCAAGTCTATACAAGCTATAGCATTTTAACCAGCAATAGTCCTGCATATATTTATATATATATATATATATATATTTATTTATACCGTATATATTTGTTTTTAATGAGCATTTAGCAATTTAGTATACTCTTAACAATGTGAAATGTCTGGATTGAGGAAGGAATTGGTAAGCAGACACTGCTTTGTTTATAGTTTGAATAAATGCACTCCTAGCTTTGGTTTACTTTTTTGAATATCAAATATAGGCTGTTAATACCTTTTGCCAACGCAGTTCGTAACTTTTAGTTGTTGTTTCAGTTCAGCTTTTTAGGCCAGATGCTTGTGCTTAAGGTGAAAACACAGTCCGTTTTCATTGCTAGACATTTTTGGTGTCATTTTGGTGGGTCATGACCTTTAGTCCACCAAACCATACAAAACCATAACCTTTCAGTTATTACTCACATTATGAGTCCCATTTAAGATTTTGGTTTTTAAGTGCAGCACCTACAATTCAGAATCCAAGCAACAAATACTGATACAAACAACTTCCCGATATCTGATCTATGTCACAAGACAAAAAGAAAAGATCTGTCATTACTTCTGTTTGATTGCAACCAAGCTTATTTTAGTTATGAAAATGAACCTCACTAAAACTATTGGTCAAAAACATTCTCATAAAATTAAACTAAATAAAATGAATTCACAATTAAAAACAAACAAATTGAAACTAACAACAGTCAGAGATAAAACTAATTGAAATATAAGAATAATTATTTATATTTTGTTTTACGAGATAATAGGCACTCATTCTGTGGCAGAAACCCACTCTGCAACTGTTTAGAGGTAGACAGTAGATGACGCTTTTACATACAAACACATCAGTCAAGCGCAAAAAACATCTTTTCTCTAGCTGCAGAAAAATGTAAAACTTTCTTGTTATACTACATATAAATTTTTAATATGAATATGACATTTAATTTTTTGTTATTTTTTTATGCGAGTTTGTATGGTCTTCAGTTCAGTGTCTTTTTAAAAAAATATATGTTTTTCTCATCACTATGAGCCGGTTTGCGAAATAGTTAACACAAGTTGTGCAAACATTAAACTTTGCTCTGGTCAACACTGGAGGTGTTCAGTTTACTTTGCTAAAACTAAAAATAAATATATAAAAATGAAATCAAAATGTGTTCCAAAAAAAAAAAGCTAAACTAAAACATTTACAGCAAATAAAAAAAATAGTAAACTATTTTACAAACGTTTTTTTTCCCCTTCACTTTTGTCAATTGGTAGTTTGCTCTTCACATCTTTGGATTAAAGCAGTTTTAATTTACTAGAACTTCATCTGTTTAATGTCAGCTATGTTGACTCATTCTACATTGTAAAAGTGCTATAGAAATAAAGATGAAATGAATTTAAAAAGCCTGATTACAAAAGCAGAGATGCTAGATTTGAACCACAGCCAGCTTATAGTCGTGACAAGATTTTGTCAGTTAGATTGTTCTTTTTTGTTTATTAAAGGTTTAAAACTTGAGCATAATCATTGTTTAATTTGTTATGTAAAAGCATCTGCTCAGCATTTCCCCTGTTAATGGTTGTGTGCAGGCATACACGGAACCAGCCGCCAACTACCTGCACAGCCAGCAGGTGTACACGCAAGGAGGAACAGTCACCACCATCGTCACATCTCAGCCAGTTCAGCAGGTATACAAGTCATGCTTTACACCAGGAGATGGTGCTGTTACACTGTTACTGTCTTTCTGGCTGTTTTTTATACATGTGTTTAGATTTGTAATCCTTCAAAAAGAAATAAAGATGCTAGGCATTTAATGTTTTTGTAATTTTGCAGTTAACATTCTAAAATGGGTTAAAAACGAGTTTACTACATAAAGTTCAGATTCTAGTTGTGGAAACTTATTGCCATATCATTGGAGTAAACGACTACATTTCATTTTTTAGTACTGAATCTTATTTTGATTGCAATTTCATTGTTAAAGTAATTTGTTTGCTTAAACGTTACATAAGCTATAATCTTTAAGCACATTAATTTAGACCTCTTTAATTCTATTATACGTTTTTTCATTATATCTATAAATCAATACACACTACAACATAAAAGACTTTCTCTCTCGCTGTAATGTTGTACAAACACACACAAAGTAACTCAATTCAACTATTTATTTTCTTACGCTTGATGCTAAGCATGTTGGGAACTAGAAATCTGTTTCTGCTTAGTCAAGGTTCACCTTAATCGAAGCATTTTATATAAACTCTAAATTTTATTGGGTTAAATGCTTTTGAACCTACGATATAGAAAAAAAATGACATTGCAGTATTACGTTTTTCAGCGACACATATTGTGATATTGAGTATAATTTTAACAGATGAAATAAATGGCTCAACATGTTAAGAATTCATCATTTTAGATTGATTGGGATGATTTTTAGGGAAGTGCATCTGCATAAATTATACTAAACCAAGCACAAGCCTTGATAAATGCAGTACAAAGTGCAAAGATACACACTAAATAAACTATATTTTATGGCTTTTTAGCAGTTTATGGTGCAAAATGTATAATCAAATGGAAAATGACCCAGTATAGTCTTTGTTGTATTTATACATAAATACAATCACAAGTGCTTAAAGTTAATTTTGTATGCCGGAATGCTAGACATTGTAGATACACACACAGTGTGTGTGTGTGTGTGTGTGTGTGTGTGTGTGTGTGTGTGTGTGTTTGTGTTTGTGTGTTAAATATGACATTATATATTGTGTAGATGACAAATACAGCACAATCTTAATCACTTATCAATGTTTTAAATAACTAACTAGTGTTTTGGTTTTTAAGAAGCAACCAATTTTGTCTTTTGTAAGCAGTTGGGTAAATATAGTGCATAGATGTTTAGTGTAGTGTTGCAGCTCATAAACACGGCAGCTGATTTATTTATGCATGTCCTCTCCAAAATCATCAAAACTTAAAAAAATCTCTTTTCTATGTTAACAAAATTGTTTTAGAAACAAATAATATACACATGAAGGTAAAATCAGTATTTAATTTAAAATTGTATTATATATATACTTTTCTGTGCGCTGTTTAATGTAGAAACTGTTTTTGACACATTTTTAAACACGGTAGTTTTAATGATCAATTTCTAATAACTACTCATGATGCTCGCTACTTTGTCTTTACCATCATGACAGTAGATAACATTTGAATAGTTAGTTCGTAAGATAACTAGTATTCAGCTTTAGTTTAATTCAAAGGCTTAATTAGGCAAGTCATTGGACAACAGTGATTTTGTACTGTAATTAATTGAGAAAAAATAATAATATGAATTTTTTTATAACAGATTATCTGATTTTATTTCAGCTTTATTAAAAGAAATAAAACATTCTCCTGAAGAAAATGTATAATTAAATTTGAAGATACAGTAAAAGCTTTCCTATTTCTGTTGGACTATTTTTGAAATGATTAAAAAAGAATTGCCTTCAACTGTATTGTTTAAAATGACAGATTTTATAATAAAACTAAGCACTTAAATGTCATTTTACTAAAGAAAGATTATTGGGAGATTTAGTAAAGCAATATATTATATTTATGTGTATATTTAAATTATATTTATATGTTCACATAAGTACTCTGCTATACTATTTTGAAAATAAAATTGATGTATGTTTTAGGGTTGGGCTGATAGACGATGCCATCGTAGATCGCCGATGGCCAATAGACAACACGTTGCTGAGTCGCCATTGCCGATCCTCTGCCCTGCCCTTGTAAAAAATACACACTCAGGGCCTGTTTGCACTAATACGTCTTAGTGTTAAAATGGCATTTTAGAGCGAAAATGATCCACATCCACACCTTGTTTTACATAGCATTTCTGAACAGCCCTCCGTCAGCTGAAAACGCACATCACATGACCTCAAACACACACACACACAGAAACAAGTGGTGCTCACTCCAGAGCCACATACACACACAGCCACATACTGTCATGCGCTCCCCTGAGCTCCAGAGACAGAGAGCAGTGCACGTCGAACTGTTTATCAAGGATGTGCTGCTGGATCGTATCTCACTATAGTTGTTAAACGTGATCTTCTGACATCTTAAGTCCCCTGGAAGTTCTGGCAGTTTCTATGTATTTTTAGGATTCATAATGCCCGCAAAAGAGTGATAATCTCACGGAAATCGCGCGTCTCTCTCCCAGTGCTCAAGTAAGTTGCGCACTTTTCTCAGCCCCAGGTCCCTCCTTGCTCTACAACCCCCCTCGACTTCGCCCAACCCTAGTATGTTTGTGACCATTCAAATAACAAGTGCACCAAATTAGTAGTTTTGCACCGTTTGAGTTGTAAAAGTGAGCTTTCCCCCATATTCTATATATATATTTTCTTTTAAAACCCTCTATCAGCAGTATTAATAAAGAACCACCTAACCACACTATTTTCTATACTTTAAGGGGGCTTTGGCTGAATGTCTTCCAAGTCACATGACGTGACTGAAGCAGGCTAAAATGTGTGGCAATGTTAAAAAAAGAAAAAACAATTTTAAGCTCCTGAGTTTTGTGGAACTTACATTTTAATTCTCCAATTACAGATTAGCAAAATATTGAACAGGAAGAAATGTTCGAGTATTCTGAATTTAATAATGTTGTAATTCACCAGTTCAGCTTTGATTTAGTGTGTGATGCTTATAAAAGCTGATGCAGCCCTTTAAACAGTTTTCTATTTATTATTAGTTTAATTAAAGCGATCACATGGCTGTATAATATCAAGTTCCTGTTCTACAGCTTCTAATTAGTAGTTTATAGACAACAGGCTTCCAGTAACCTCAGCATGCTGACTAACCTCTCTTGAACTGTGATTCACCACAGGAAATGATTGTACCCAACAACATCATTGACCTGCCGCCTCCATCCCCTCCCAAACCTAAAACCATTATCCTGCCTCCCAGCTGGAAAGTGGCGCGAGACCCAGAGGGCAGAATATATTACTACCACATCATCACCAGGTACCGATACTCCCTATTAAATGAACAATCTGTGTGTTATTAAAACGGGGGGAGCGAGCCACAATCCCATGTCATATATTATGTCATCTAATGAGTTAAGACATTGCTGCCAGATCATATATTTCACTGCTCTATAATGAACTGTGCTCTTGCTTTTAAAGGCAAACGCAGTGGGATCCTCCCAGCTGGGATGGGACGACAGAGGAAGCTAGTGTTGAACACGAGGCAGAGATGGACCTCGGGACGCCTACGTATGATGAAAATCCCTCCAAGGTATTGAACAGTTCCTTACGCTTTAAGGGGCAAAAAATCATGAGATTTTCATCTAGCTTGAGTTTAAAGTGCTGTAGATATTTTTTTAAAGAAACCTTTTTTGAAAATAGGCTTGAGTTGACTAGAGTTAAACAGTTATGTCTTACCATTTTTTTATTCTATTCAGCCAATCTTCAAGTCTGGCACTTTTAGCTTAGCCTAGCATTGATTATTGAATCAGATTAGACCATTAGCATCTCGCACAAAAAATAAAACAAAAAGTCTTTAGAGTCTGTGTATTTTGCCCTTGCTTAGAAGTCTGTTATCATCCAAATTTATTAGCACAACTGGCACATTGGCGCAGTATTTGCTAGTATGTGTTCATACCAAACCTAGTCTAAATTTAACCTTGTCAACTTAAACTCAGCCAGTTTATACTTCTGAATAAAGTGACGTGTATGGTCTGGTCCCATACTCTTCGCTGTAGCATGATGAACATCTCTCAAAAAGTGTAACTACATATCACAGTGATGCGTAGCACAAGAGCTGTGATTGGTCTGCTTGGGACTAGTGATGAATGTTAACGGGGTAAAGCGAGGCCAATGGCATGTTTAACAAATGTTGAATCCCACTTGGATGAGGATACTTTTGTTTTGTTTACTTTATGATTAAAGTTGTCCATTAGTTCCTGCTTCTTTCTCTCTCGAATGAGTAAAAAAGTAGTTTAAGCTACTTGTATGGTAAGTTAGCATTGCAAGCATTTACAGTGTAAACAAAACACCCGCAAAGACGCTCTGCACAGAGAAACATAGGTAGCGGTTCAGACGTGGTATTGTCAGAGCAACACAAAAAGAATGCAGAAGTATAAATACATGGCTATGTGCAAGGGCATCACTCGATGCAGAAATATAATTCAGCCATAAGTTTTAACATTTTTGATTGCCACTCTGCCGAATAGCTGGCAATAGCACTTTTGGCTTAGCTTAGCATTAATTATGGAAAATAAAAAGACTTTAGAATCTGTATTTTGCCCTTCCTTAAAAGCCTGTTATTATATGAATTTATTAGCACAACTAGCACATTAGCACAGTATTTGGTAGGTTGTTTTTATTGGTTCTCATTAAACACATTGTATTAACAAAATGTGCAGTCAGCACTTTGCTACTTACAACTACTACTACTAATCACTCATCTGGCTTCAAGGGTATGTCCAATGCTGTTAATGACTTCTTACTAGACCATCTTTTTGTTTGTTTGTTTGTTTGTTTGTTTGTTTGTTTTTTAGGCACGTAAAAAGGATTATTATTATTATTATTTTATTTTTTTGTGCAGATTTGAGGTATTTGTAAAAACGTCCTAATAACATGGAAAACCTGGAAAAGTCATGGAATTTTGTCACGGCATTTTCCAGGCCTCGAAAGTTTAGGAAAAATAAAAACCCACAAAGTTTTGAAAAAGTCATGGAAAACAGATATCTGTATACTTGAATATAGGTTAGTTGTCTTTACTTCTTTTCTGTCCCTGGCCAACAACACTTTCTCAGATTATTACTGCGGTGTGGGTCAGTTAACATTTTTGTGTGGAGTTTGCATATTCTCTCTGTGTTCTTGTGGGTTTCCCCCAGGTGCTCCAGTTTTCCCCACAGTACAAAGACATGCTCTATAGGTGAATTAAATAAACTAAATTGGCCTGAGTGTATGTGTGTGCATGTGAGACTGTATGGATGTTTCCCAGTGATGGGTTGCAGCTGGAAGGACATCCGCTGTGTAAAACATGTGCTGGATATGTTGGCGACTCATTCCGCCATGACGACCCCTGATTAATTAAGGGACTAAATTAATTAATGAATGATTAAGTATAAATTGAAACTAAATAGAATGTTTTGTGTTTTAGGATATGCTATAACACATTTTAGCATGTATCGTTTTCTACCACACATGTGTAGACATTGCATAAAACATTATGCATAGTTATGGAATTTTAGTAGCTAATATGTGTATGAACTCCATAATAAAGGCTAAAACTGATCAACAATTTGTTTCAAAATATGGTCAGTAGTTACAACCAAAAAAGTCAATTGGATTTAAAGGAACAAAAAGTGTTCCATAATTTTCCTCTTCTCAATATGGCTTTTTGATGTTTATTATAGACGTATTAATCATATACAAATTTGGTTCTTTTGCCCATCCTGTTTACTTTCTCTTTACTCGAACCAGCTGTATTTACAGTAACACCTTTGCAAGGCGGATATTTTGATCAAGACTTGCATTTTTCCATTCTTGAATGCAAGCACAATACCTCAAGGCAAGAGTGACTTTCACAGCACGCATATATGTGGAGCAGCTGTCTCTCATTCAGACACTGCTGCTACCAAACTAAGTAACTAGTGACATCAAAACATTGCTGTTTTTGTCTCACTAACTTATTATCTATCTATCTATCTATCTATCTATCTATCTATCTATCTATCTATCTATCTATCTATCTATCTATCTATCTATCTATCTATCTATCTATCTATCTATCTATCTATCTATCTATCTATATATATATATATATATATATATATATAGTATTTATTATTTTATGCATGTATGTATTTACATATACATAATTTATGTGTGTACACTGTGTGTAATTATTATGTAAACACCTTTTAAGCAATTTTAATCATAATACATTGTTTGACAGAACTATTTATTATGAATTAGTTCTTAACGCTTAATCCTTAAACTAAAGTTCATGCTAGTACTTGCATGTAAAGCTTCTTTGAAGTGAAGATGTTGTTTCAGCTATTTTGGATGAGTGGTTTTGCAGCTGGTCTCATCTACATATATATGACCACTCAGATTTACTTCAGCATTTAAAATGTATCCGCTTAGTCTTTAAGGGAACACTCCATTTAAAAAAAAAAAATAAATAATAGGGTCATTTTTACAAGTCACCTAGAGTTAAACAGCTGAGTTTTACAATTTTTGTATCCATTGTTAGTCTCTGGGTTTAATCTCTATTCTCCATCATTGGCATCTCAAAAAATTCAAAGATTATTATAATTTTCCCATTTATAGCTTGAGTCTTCTGTAATTAATCCTGTATTAAGACAGATTGAAAGGTCGATATGTGTAGGATCTATACTTTCATTCCAGCTTAAAACCACAACTAGGTAACTAGGTCCCCCCACTATGTAACAGCGCTGCAGTAAAATAAATAAAAATAAATAAAATATTTAATTATTTTTAAATAATTTAAAATTATTTTTTTAATTATTTATAAAAATATATATATATATATTTGATGATAATAGTCTAATCAGACTCAATGATTGATTCTAAGCTAAGTTTAAAGTCCTCCTACCAGACCCGGAAACTGTTTGAATGGATTTAAAACTGTTTAACGGTCTAGGTGCCTTTTTAAAATCATTTCCAAAAAAGAGTACAAAGAGAACAGACCAAAGTAAAACACAAAGACGAAAGCAAGTTACATTGAGCATTGTTTTAAAGTCATGTCATCTCACAGGCTGTAACCATCTTGATCTGTCGCTTTCTTCTGATCACCTACTCTGCGTTTCTCTCTCTCTCTCTCTCTCTCTCTCTCTCTCTCTCTCTCTCTCTCTCTCTCTCTCTGTGTCTCTTTTTTCTCTCTCTCTCTCTCTCTTTTTCTCTTTCTCTCTCTCTCTCTCTCTCTCTCTCTCTCTCCCTCCCTCTCTTTTTCCCTCTCTCTTCTCTCTCTCTCTCTCTCTCTCTCTCTCTCTCTCTCTCTCTCTCTCTCTCTCAGGCCTTTTTCTCTGTGTTTTTTTTCTGGATCTCTTTGATGCTAATCAAACCCAGCTGTTGAAACTGCATTCATTTATGTGTGGTTTCTCATTTGGGAGTCGAGCTCTGCAGAATCTCTTTTGTCTTTTCAGCTATTTGCCCTTTTGTTTCAAACTTCAAAATATCGCAGCTATTAAACCTTTAACAGATATTGTTACAAAAGGGTTTTATTGTGTGTTGTCAGTATGTTAGCGTTTCCTCTGATGTGCACTGGTTTGGCCTTTTTGGGACCCATGAGAATCGACAGTCTCGGCATTGATACAACATGATCTCCATGCCATAAGGGGAGTCTGGGAGTTACAGTATAGAATGTTCCCTGTTGTAGGATTTAGTCTCTAGAGTGTGTTTTGGAAAGGAATTTTCAAACATTCTGTAGATTAATTACACTTACATGAGTCATGTGTCAAATAAAGTGTCAGTATTTTTACGTTTCAAATAAACTGTCAGTATTCACAGTATATTTTTTCATGCGCTGAGGTTTCTGTTTGGCTCATTTCCTCAGTTCTCTACAAAGACCGCCGAGGCAGACACGTCCAGTGAGCTGGCCAAAAAAAGCAAAGAAGTCTTCCGTAAGGAGGTGAGCCTTCCAATCTCTTGGGTTTTTAAGCAAATTATTATAGCGCTAACTCATGTGTCCGACTCATCTAACCTTTCCATTTTTCCTGCTTATCTTTTCAGATGTCGCAGTTTATTGTGCAATGCCTTAATCCATACCGCAAGCCGGACTGCAAGCTGGGCCGCATAAGTAACACAGAAGACTTCAAACATCTTGCTAGAAAGGTGACTTTTGTGTAACTTTTTTTTAATCTATCGAAAAACACCGTTGGCTTTTAGATATCCAGGGTGTCCATGTGGTCTTATAAAGTCTTAAAATTTCAAAAACTATATTTTGGGCCCTAAAAAGTCTTACATTTTCAGATATATTGTCTTGTTGGTCTAAAATCATCTTAAACGGTTCTTAATTTTTCTTTCTTTTTTTTTTGTAAAGCTACTCAATCGTTCAAACACATCCAATCACCAACAAATACATCTGATTAAACTTTGAAAACAGTCTGTTGTGCAAACATTTAGTTTTTACACAGTTTTTTTATGTAATTGATTGTGTAATAGTTATGTTGCATAAATATATGTATAAAACTAGAGTCTGCTTGTTTTGACACATTATTAAAATATATGGCTAAGAAATTACGAACTAAAAGTCTGAAATTTCACACTTTATGATCTTAAATTTGACTTTGTGAAGCCAGCAGAAACCCTGATGTATGTTTATTTAATTTTTTTTCACAATTTTAGACATATTCTGCATAACTATATACATATATATATATATATATATATATATATATATATATATATATATATATATAGATAAACATAAAGATAAAGTTCTAAAAATCATTCTGAATGTAAAGCAACATTAGATTACAGACCGACTATAACAAAAAATATATAAAGAAACAATATTTTTGTATCACTTTCTGAGCAACTTAAAAAAAAAGACATTTCTCTCAACTAATAAATTATAAAACACTGTCCCAGTCAGAGTCCATTGAGATGTAAGTGCAATTGAAAGCCACAGATGACATTGTAAAGTAGCTCTGCTTGATGTTAAGCCCTCTTTTCAAAATTATTTAAAGATAATGACTAGAAAACAACTGGTTATACCAGGGGTCGGCAACCCGCGGCTCTAGAGCCGCATGCGGCTCTTTAGCGCTGCCCTAGTGGCTCCCTGGAACTTTTTCAAAAAATGTTTGAAAATGGAAAACGATGAGGGAGGAAAATATATTTTTTGTTTTAATATGGTTTCTATAGGAGGACAAACAATCTTAACGTTTTCCAATGCTGTAAAAGTGTGTAGAATATTTAATTTCAACATTTCTGTCAACGAAGATTTGCGTCATAGCCTGCGACACACGTTTCTATCAGCAGGGCGGGACGCCAGGCAGGTAGCTGTTGTAAACAAACCGGCGGCTGTGTGGTGCGCCATGGAGCGCAAGCTGTCTTTGCCAAAGATGTAGAGCGGGGCACGCTTTCTCATTTTCCCTCCCTGAGAGAATTCAAAGAAGCCCATCCCGATCACTCACTCAACGGTGATTATTTACAAGGTGCGATCGTTGATATGCAAACCCCTAACCCCAACCGTCATTGGGGGAAAAGCAAATCGTACTAAATTGTACGAATTAGATTGTACGAATTCATACGAATTAGCCACTAAATGAAAAAGTTACGAATTGCCGTGAGATTGTGTTGGTTGAGCACATTCCCGGGAATGACTCGAGCTGATCTTGAAATGGAAATGGCAGACTGCGTTTTATTGCACTGTTTGTTGCCCAGATAAGGGGCACGTTGTGCACGTTAATTTTGATGTTGTTTTTTGGAATCCTGAAAAAAAAAAAAAAACATACAAAAATCTGATTTCTTTATTGCATTTCTTTAATTTCATCAAAGCAAAACATAATGCAATAATATTGTAATGAAGTTAAACTTGATAATTAAGCATAATGCAATAATATTGTAATGAAGTTAAACTTGATCATTAAACATAATTCATTAATATTGTAATGAAGTTAAACTTGATCATTAAACATAATGCATTAATATTGTAATGAAGTTAAACTTGATCATTAAACATAATGCATTAATATTGTAATGAAGTTAAACTTGATCATTAAACATAATGCATTAATATTGTAATGAAGTTAAACTTGATCATTAAACATAATGCATTAATATTGTAATGAAGTTAAACTTGATCATTAAACAATTCATTAATATTGTAATGAAGTTAAACTTGAACATTAAACATAATTCATTAATATACTGTAATTAAGTTAAACTTGAGACGGCATTGTACAACAGAGTAGTCACGTGGCGCGTCATTCTCTACAGGATGCACTGCAGGGAAATGAACATTTAATCATGAAAGCTCAGTATGTATTTGTAGCCAGCGAAGTCATTTTTATAGTATGCTAATATAGCTAATATAAATACATACAGCATGTGTTGCCATCATTATAAGGCTTATATAAGGCTTTTAATTTTTTGCGGCTCCAGACATATTTGTTTTTGTTTTTTTTGGTCCAATATGGCTCTTTCAACATTTTGGGTTGCCGACCCCTGGGTTATACCATGGGAAAGAATGATAAAAATACACAGAAGCTTAATGCAAGCCAAGTATGAAAATAAAAAAACACCTCTTTCCAGTGCTAGTTTCTGCATCTTTGTCTTTTCTCTTTTGGGAATGCTGGAGAAAATAGTAAGTTTCTATAAGATTAATACCTCTTTAAATAAAGATTCATTGGTTAGATGTGGGTGGCAAGTGGTTAGCACTTTTGACTCACAACAAGAAGGTCCCTGGATCCTAGCTGTACCACAAGGTATTTATGTGTGGAGTTTGCATGTTTTTAATCATGTCTTCTCTAATTTCCCCCAGAGTCCAAAGACATGCTGTTTTGATAAATTGGAAAAAACAAATTGGCCTTAGTGTGTTAATGGAGAGTGTTTTCCAGCACTGAAGGTTGTACTCTCAGTCTTGGGTTGTGACTGGAAGGGCATCTGCTGTGTAAAATAATTGCCAGAGTAATTGGTGGTTTATTTCTCTGTGATAAAGCAGGGACTAAGGGTTGTAGGTCTGAAATAATTTTACACAAGTCTTGATATTCCTGTGTCCAAGTAAAGCTACCCTGTTTGGCCGACATCCAACCAACTGACCCAGCCGACCGATCCAGGGAAACCCATGAACATGGGGGGAGAACATGCAAATTCCACACAGAAATGCCAACTGGCCCTGCCAGGACTTGAACCTGCGACCTTGTTGCTGTGAGGCAAAAATGTGCTAACCACCGAGCCACTGTGGTGCCCCCAATCACCAATAATTCATCTCAAAACATTTTTTTAAATTTTAAATATACAGTTAGGTCCATAATTATTTGAACATTTATACAATTCTAACATTTTTGGCTCTATACACCATCAATTGGTTTGAAATGAAACAAACAAGATGTGTTTTAACTGCAGACTATCAGCTTATTTGAGGGTATTTCCAAATGAGGCCAACAGTGTTGGAATTACAACAGTTTGCATATGTGCCTCTCACTTGTTAAGGGTCCAAAAATAATTGGACAATTAGGTTCTAAGCTGTTACATGGCCAGGTGAGTGTTAGTCACTCATTATACCAATTACAATGAGCAGATAAAAGGTCCAGAGTTCATTTCTAGTCTGCTATTTGCATTTGGAGTCTGCTACTGTCAACTCTTAAGATGAGATCTAAAGAGCTGTCACTATCAGTCAAGCAAGCCATCAATAGGCTAAAAAAACATAACAAACCCATCAGAGAGATAGCAAAAACATCAGGCAGGGCCAAAACAACAGTTTGGAACATTTCTAAAAAGAAAGAACGCACCAGTGAGTCAGCAACACTAAAAGACCCGGAAGACCACGAAAACAACTGTGGTAGATGACCAAAGATTTCTTTCTCTGGTGAAGAAAACATTCTTCACAACAGTTAGCCAGATCAAGAACACTCTTCAGGAGGTAGGCGTATGTGTGTTAGAGTCAACAATCAAGAGAACACCTTACCAGAGTGAACACAAGATGTAAACCATTGGTGAGCCTCAAAAACAGGAAGGCCATATTAGAGTTCTAAAAAAGCCTTCACAGTGCTGGAACAACAACCTATGGAAAGATGACATTAAGATCAACTTGTACCAGAGTGATGAGAAGAGAAGATTATGAAGAAGGAACTGCTCGTGATCCTAAGTAGTGAAGCATGGTGGTAGTAGTGACATGGCGTGGGCTAGGCTTGCCATGATAGACTGTGTTGACGGTGTTACCACAGGAAAGGATTTACAACCAAGTATTAAATAGTAAAAGTTTAATTTATGATTATTATTCTGTTCAATTACTTTTGGTCCCTAACAAGTGGGAGGCACTACTGCAAATTGTTGTAATTCATAAAGCGTTCATTTATTTTGCATGTAAATTCTTGTTCATTTCCTTTCAAATCTAATATATTATATTATGTATAACTATTTTTTAGGTTTTTATTGCAAAGAGATACAATTTACAACTGCTTTAAGACATTATTAAAGCAAATTCTCCAAATTAAATTCAGTGAACGAAAACTAAAGCAACGCATCTCTTTACATGATCTTTCATTAATACTAAAACTATTTTCAGAAGTAATGAGACCATTAGAAAGTGTTTAGCCCTATATAAGTCTAAAATTTAATTAATAATCGTCTTAAAAAGTCTTACGTTTGACTTCGAAGAAACCAGTTCTCAAAACTGGATTGAGGTTAGTATCTTGAGCTTGTGCAAAGTGCTGGTAAATGTCAACTCCTGTAGTTACAGAATAAATCGTTCCCTGTCATATTTAGGCAATTGCACTATTCTGTTAACTGTAAACAGTCTGCTCTACATTGTTGGGTCATTCCTGTTGAAGGAAAATGAATGGAAAGTGCTTGAAATGTAATTTTGCAATTGTGGAATGAGTCACATGCTTTCCTCTGTCTAATCCCGCCGTGTGTTTGTGTCTGCTCACAGCTGACTCACGGAGTGATGAACAAGGAACTGAAGTCTTGCAAGAACCCCGAAGATCTGGAATGCAATGAGAACGTCAAACACAAGACCAAGGAGTACATCAAGAAGTATATGCAGAAGTTCGGCTCAGTGTACAGGCCCAAGGAAGACACAGAGTTGGACTAACTAGCCTGAAGCTCAGTCTTTCCAACAGTTTTGGTGCGTCGAGACAGAGCCTGTTGTTTCCTTCCACAGACTTTCTAACCATGTCCTAAATGCTGCTCTGGGAGGGAACGTTGAGTAAGTCGTCCCGCACAGGGTTTAATGATAAAATAAACTTCTGTGGAATGAAGTCCGGAGGACTCAAATCAAGGGTGCTATACAAACTCTTTCCAGGATGTTTTTAGTCTTCTCAGAATTATCTCTTAAGACAAGAGTCATCGCTTTGGAGGAGAGGATCATCTTGACGAGAAATTTTTAAAAACGGAACAAGAGGACCATTCAAATATCTTTCCCCTTGCCATGCCACTCCATTACTGTAGTTGTTACCAAGGGCTTTTGTTTGTTAGCTTGCCTGCTCTGCTAAAGGTCCAATCCCTTAATAATATTAATCAAGGAAAGAAAGACGCTAAGGATTATGGTCTACCCACCACACTAGCAGTTTTGGACTCCCTGGCCATGGGTCACCATTGATTTTATTGATTTTAAAAGTGTGTGCAGGTCTGTGCTTGAACCCCATTTGTCCTGGTCAGCTTGTTCTTCTGGACTAGGGGTAAGGTTATGTAGCAATGATGTTTTATTGAGGTCTTTCACACTGTTTTTACATTAACATTGTTTTATTAATATCGCAAAGGCAAATGTGAAGCCCTCCTGGCAGTTTGTAGCTTCTATTTGTGGCCATCATGTAACTGATTGATCAGGTTTACTGTCCCATAAGCTCTGGCCGTTAATCAACTCACCCAGCTTCATTAATCCACATTAAATCTGTTTCCAGACATGTATTATATTGGTTTATATGTGAATATATTGAAAGTTAGTTTTCGAGACCATTTGCAGAGACTTTGTAAAATGACTGTGGGGGGAGGGGTCCATCATGTCCTGTGTAAATACATGTAATTATACTGGACCGGGAAAACGGGATTAGAAGGATGCGACTTAATCAGAGTCGTTTTTCCCGCCGGCGTTTCTGCATCAAGCTGAATTCCACACTCTCCCACTGATCCGGATGTTGAGTTGGGTTTTAAAGGTGGGGGTGTCATTATCTTTTCTTTACTTTTTCCTTTGCTTTCTCTGTAGAAAGACTTTGGATTTTTTTTATGTACAAATAGGAGTAACGCCCCACTCCACTGTAAGTACTGTGCAAGCACATTGTCATACTGAGTGTAAAAACATTTTAAAATAAAATAAACTTTTCTAAAAAAGTCTTTGTCTTGTCACCCTTCAGCTTTGTTTTTGGGAAGTACGTCAGCGTCCACCACTTAAAATGCACCAATTTAAGTTCTTTTACAAGATGTAGGATAAGTCTTTGGTGTCTCCAGAGTGTGTCTGTAAATTGGGTCTGCTTCACTTGCATTACATCAGATAAACAGCAGTTAGTGATAGAGACAGACATGGATAGTGTTGTCAGATTGGGCCGTTTCCTGCCCTATTGGGTGGTTTTTAAATTTGATTGTGCGGGTAAAAAATGACATAGGTGGGTAGTGAAAATTTGGGCGGTTTTTGCAACGGCGTGCCCGCCAGCCCCGGTCTTCACTTATAAACCAGTTCTGATCTCCCAAAGAGATGCCATAGCCCCTGTGTTTCACATACAAACACAACAGTGTTGATCTCCCAAGGAGTAACCCGTCTGCCTCAAACCCCACCCACCCCAGCCCCTAATAGTCTCCAGATTATTGGGCAGTAGGGTTGGGTGTCGTTTGGGGTTTTTTGATAACGCTGCTAAATCGATACTTTTAAACCGGTACTGGTGTCTGAAGCCACAAATTTAATCGACAAAATAAAAAAAAAAAAAAAAAAAATATATATATATATATATATATATATATATATATATATATATATAATCAATATATTTGAATAATATAAATATGTTTATAATACATTTAAAGTAAACATCAATTCATATTTTATATATTTGAATTGCTTTATTATATTTGTTTTGATCATGTGTTTGTAAGCATAAATGCAAGATTTGCATTATGCTATTAACATTACATTAGCTTACTACTAACCTGTGGAAAGGCTGTCATAAAAATCAGTGAACGCCTTTTTTCTGGGTTTGGGGCTTGTGACTACTTTTAAATGGACATCATTGATCTAATAACCACAATATGATTCAGGTGTTTACATGAACTGCTTTTTGAATTTTACATTCATGATTCCGAATTACATGTTATAATACAGATCAGTAACATCATTACATCACCAGCCTATAAATGTTTCCTCCGCAGTTTGTGGTCCTTTAGGATAATCAAAAACGTAGTAGACTCTTGATCAGAGTATTGTCTTAATCATATTAAAATCAGAGTATTGGTGTCCATGTAAACATACTCAGATAATGCGCCAGATGATGTCACAAGCTGTTAAAGACAGTCCATTCCTCACCTTTAAGTTGATTCCTTGAGCCCTCACATTTCATAAGTTTGACTTGTGTCTCTCCTACACGCAACTTTTGTAAAACATCTGCTGCATGTTGGTGTGTCAGAATCCTTGCTTGTAAAATATAACCATACTTTAGGATGCTTAGTTTAAGCAAATTAGATGAACGCGATCATGCGTGTTGATAAAGTGAGTCGACATTCTGCGCGCTTTGCCTTCTAAAAGCTACAATAACAAACGCCTGACATCACTGACATCCGTACCCCTCCAAGCTGTTTAGGTTTGAAATTAAACATTTAGAGATAGTGTGACACAACACTTATGTCTGCCTTTACCGCACCTCTTTATGCTTTTTAAGGGTGTCACACAGCGGATGCACCGCTCGAGCTGCGGCGCGGCACGCACATGATAGTTGATTGTATCACACACTAGACGTGCACATTCACATGTTATTAAAAATGAAACTATTCTGTGGCATGGCAGAAATATGAACAGTCATGAGTCGTGGCTGGGCGCCGCGGACAGCAGCTGACTTGCGAATTCTAAAATGCATGGCGCTACGCATTGCCGAGCGGCGATTCTGGTGCGTGACCAGCTTTACGCTCTTGTTGCAGCACCGAAATTAGGCACCGAAATTCATATGCTGATTTGATTCGGTGCCGGTTTCAGTACCCAACTCTATTGGGCAGTGCTTTAGGTTTTTAGTGGGTTTTAGATAGCTTTTGGGTTAGATTCACTCAGCTATATGTGGCAACACTGGACACGGAAGAAGCTGAAATCCAGCTTATTAGTCAAAAATACCAAGCAAGTTTATTTAACGTATTTGTGGTGGAGTTTCTTCAAGTTTTTCTGAAATGATGAGTCACACACAAATGCTGTTTGCAGTACACACACACACAGTAGCGTTTACTAACACCATGCAGCCATGGCGATTTTGGCGGTTAAGAATTACACATTTTTACTCTCTTTATTACAAACATACTCTGTTTTAAAAACATTTTAAACAAAATTAATTATTGAGGTGCAGCTTAACACAGAGTTGCAAGATATGCTTTAATTCTAGTTTCTTTGCCAAACCAAGTTCTGTGACCCTGTGTATGTTATTATGGAGACATGACACCTGTCAATCAATTTGGTGGATGGGGGAAAACCGCACGCCAAAGTCACATTGCAGTGGGTCTTAAAATCACTGGGATTTGGGTCCTATTTCAACATCAGTAAATTTTTAAAAAGAGACTTGGGTTTATAGGCAAATTACCGGTTTAAACACTCAGGATGTGGGCGCATCAAGGTTGCAGAAAAAAAATGGGAGCGCTAGCATTAACAGCGAGGGAATGACATCAGATACTGTACAGAGTTTGTTGTTGTATTAGAGATAAGTTATATTGATTACATATTATATATGTAATTTACATAATGCTTTCAGCGTATTAGAACAGCTTGTCACTCAGTTCATCCATTTGCGATAGCACCCCTCCAAGCCCATCCAGCCTCAAATATACAGCCATCTCATTGAAACTCCAAGTGTTTTTACAAGAGAGAAGTTAAAGGCCTACAAGTCTTTGGATGCCTACAATTTTGTTCTGCGTGGTCATGTGCAAGAAATAATGTTTCATGATTACCAGATTCAAAACTTAGTAGTGCTAAAAGCCGAGGTTCTGCCTAGCCAAAGAAAAGGAAAGACGATGGAACTGTACAAGGCCTGGGTAATCAACAAGCCAAACAACTGCATTCTGACAGAGAACCACCTGTACAGCAGGGTATGCGAACTTAGATTTTTACATTTTATTCTTAGCCTAGTTTAAATAACCATACAGTATGTAACTGCTTTTGCTGAAATCATTGCAGAAATTAAAAACGAGAATTGTGTATGATTCAGCATAGCCTGAACCTGATATGAAACTGGAACTGCAGAGTCGAGCATTTTTAATTAGGTCCTCACTCCATTCAGCTCTTAAAATGGCTGTTAGCCAAAGACGTCTGCAGTTGGCATTAAAAGCAGTGTGGTGTACGGTAAATCGGTCGATTTTGGCATCCAACCGCACAACACGATCTTGAATTTCCAGTCTGTCGCATTCTCAGACTTTTGAATAGAAGTCTATGGGACGAATATTGTAGTGTGACCGTGGCTCAAGTTAGAGATCACCACGAGTGGGCGGGGCTTTTCTTTGTTGATTACACATTCAAAGTGAGAATGGGAATTGAAGTGTTTCTTTAGACTCTTTTTATAAGGTGGGATTATACAAAATAAAATTAATACATTTTTACCCCTTACAATCAGGTTATATTCAGAGACTGTTGCCACGTGACTGTTTAAACCCCTTATAAAAGTGTTTTTTCTTTTTTTTTAACTCTAACCGATTAGCTTCTCATTTCGTCAACAACCAGAAAAATGTAATTTCCTTAAATTGTGTATTGTGTGTTCAGAAAGCAGTTGTTGGTGGATGTGAAGCCTAGGTGAGCGCCACATTTTCATTGCTTGGCTTTAGGTCAGGGGTGCCCAAACTTAGTTCTAGTGGGCCAGTGTCCTGCAGAGTATACAGTAGGTGAGAGTTCAATGTGGCCATTACCGTTGTGGCTTATACCACCGCCGCTTTAAATGGGCAAGCATGTGTTTTTAATGTATGACCGCAGTTTGTGAATATGCCTCTATGGGGCACAAAGGGACGGGATGCGAACGGACAGAAATAGCCTATGCAGCAGCTGTAAATATGCCACTGTACTTATAAATGAAGATGAAACGATAAAACATTCACTTTGGAAAGTAGAATTGAGGAATTAAAAGACAACTAAAATGAAAGCACAAACATTTAGTACAAATAAGTAGGCCTAAATAAATAAATAAAGCAGTCTTTTAGCCTAAATATAGAGAGATGTTCAGTGTTTGCTATTTTGATAGGACGAAGACAGTCGTTAAATAAGCCTTTTCATTTATGTTTTCATTTACATTTTTATTTGTTGTTGATTATATTTTATTATCTCATTTTATGTCTCAATTATTGTACATAATAATAAACAAATAATAAAAAATAAATGAATAGTCAAATAATAGGCCTAAACAATTATTTATGTAAAGACTTGAAACACTGAGAAACGGTCCGGCACATGGTCTAAAGAGCATCAAAAGCATAAAAATAAATTGACCTACCTCAAGCAGATCACTAGTAGTATAATTAAGCCCTGCAAATTAAATAAATTAAGTGCCGCAAGTTTATTTTTAATCATTTTAGTTCAGTTTTTTTTTTTTTTTTTTTTTTTTTGGAAACGTCAGTGTTCTGTTTTAAAGTATGATTGCTGTTGTTGTTGTTGTTTTTTTCTTTTTACTTGTTTTAATGGCTCAGTATTTTTTGTATTTTAATTTTAATTTCAGTCACCTTGCATGTGAAATATTATGCGCGCAAAACCGCGTAAAAAGAAGAAAAAGCTGTCAAAAGTTAGAGCTAATTCATCAAAATTAGCTATATTAAAAAACAGCATGTATGTTAGTACAGGCAGACTGAACAAACTCAGGGTAAGGCTAAGATATGTGCTTGCCTTTAAAAGTCATTTTAAAAGATTTGCGGCGAACAAAGAAGTGATTTTAAAAGGGAAATCTTCAATAAAAGATTTAAGATCTTCAAGGGGAACAGTGTATTTTATAAACTTATTCACATCATCCTGGATACGTACGTTGTTTCACTATCCTAACAATAAAAATGAAAACAAGATATAAGGATCTGCTATTTTCATTTTGATATTAACTAATTAATAAGACCTAAAACATACATTTCCCATACGCTATATGACATTCATAGGCAATTCCCCAATATTTAAGAGAATAATTTAA